ACAGGCCAGAAGTAAGGGGGAACTGGTGGTGGTGAGAGTATTCAGCAGAGACAGAGTGGGGAGCAGAACAGGAAGACTGACTGAAATACACTGCTGAGGGGAGCAGCAGGTGACAGGAGAGCTCTGCCCTGCCATGCTGGTCACCTCCCTGGCAGTGGCTGCAGATTGCTTCATAATGCTGTGCTTTAACCCTTTGCTCTACCAGGGAGGGCCCCCAACTTACATTTCTAATGTTCTTATCTATAATAGAACATAGTGTCAAAAACCATCCATGTATTCATTGGCTTCTCTGAAGAAGTTCTAAGCAGCAAACCAGCTTCCAGTCACTCCTTTTCAGGCTCCGTTTATATTCACCCAGTTGGGTAAATGTTGTTTTAGAAAGCTTCCTGTTTTATTCATGCAATTTCGAAGACATAACAAGTTTGTACTACAGGAAGACCTTCTGCCAGGGAGAAACGCTCTCGGGATCAGAACCCAGGTCAGAGGGAACCCAGAGCGCAGTCGCAGGCCAGGGAGCAGGCCAGGGAGCAGGGAGCACCGCCAGGCGCAGAGAGCAGTACAGGCTGTGGATCGGGCCAGCCCTCCCGTTCCCCACTGGTAACTGGATCTTAAGAGGAATCTGAAATGCGTTTAAGTCTCAGTCTCAATTCCTCATCTGTGAAGTGGGGATAAGCAGGTAATCACGACCCTGAGTGGTTTTCAGATATTTATAAGACTGTAAGGGGACCAAGTAGGGATCGGACAAAAAAAAAAAAAAAAAGACAAAGCACAAAACTAGCAGAGGGCGGGGACTTTATGCAGGCGGGGAGGGGAGACGGGTAAAAACCGGTGGGAAGAGACTGGTGAGGTTCAGGGGTGACTTGTTGGTGGGAATTTTATGGGGACTACCCCTTTGAGGAGAAAGCAAACTGTTTACAAATGAACAACGTTGTGCAAAATATATACACAGAGAAATAGGAAAATGCATATTTTTTTCATTCCTAAAGTATCTACATGCTGATTGATCTGAACCCTTCTTCTTCTGCTCTCATTTTGCCGTTTGAGCCCCAAATTCACTTGCTCCAGCTCCTGTGACCTTCTTTCTAGGTCTTTGAATAAACGAATAAGCCAGATTTTTAATTTTTATTAGTTTTTTTTTAGTTAAGGTTCTTTGTACCTGTGTTTTGTATATGGCTTTTGGCTGGGTCTTTGCATGTCTCGCGAGCTCTTTTTCACTCACTCTTTCTTAGCCGTGACTTCAACTCACACACATTCTCACTCCAGAGAACTTTTATGGCCATTTGCCTATATTCTCACCTTTTTATTATTATTATTTTCTCAGCACTCATTCTCTGGTTTTTGTTTGTTGGTGTTTGTTTTCTAAATACTTCTTACTAGAACTTGCTCAGGCTGTAACTTCTAGACCCAGGAATTGTACAACAGAGAAAAATGCATTTTTTGAATAAATGAACCAAATGAAATTAAGTGACTCAGAAAGGGTGTAGACACAGGGGTGGTACAGGGGCGGTGCCGTTTCAAAGCTCCTCACACTATCAGTTATGGTCTAACACACTTATTGTAACATTTGCATTTCAGAAGGACTAAGTGTTTATATTTGCCTAACAAATAGGATGAAAAAGTAGTAAGTCTAGGACAATAGTCCCATATCAAAGGTGACTGCAGATTCCGAAGATGCAAAACAGACAAGCTCTCTCCCCACCCACGAGATTTACAAAACTTGCTTAGGCGATTTCCCCCAGGCCAATTATGACAGCAGTTAAAGGCAGAGAAGGTTACAGCTAGTTAAGGGTGATGCAGTCTGAAAGTTTATTTCTACCTGGCTCATGTGGATTCTAGATCGCACTCTGATGGACAGGTAAGATGGAATGGATCAAAGGCAGATGAATGGGCTGGGATGGAAGCCTGCTAGCAGGAGGGTGTACAGACTCCTAGGAAAAGGGAGGTTCCAGGTTCCCTGCCCCACATAGGGAAGGGTGGAGGTGAGGAGGCAGTGGAGACAGGAGAAGGGAAGATGAATGGAGAGCAAGGAGACCTGGAGGAAGCACATGGAGCAGAGACATGTGAAGCAGCTGCATGTGCTTCTTGGTCTTGGACTGGCTGAAACAGATGTGGGTGAAAGACCAGTGGGTTAGTTAACAATGGCAGCTTTTATTTTGATTTTGCTCATTTTCTTCCAGACTTGTCTGGCTGTTTCTGACCCTTTTCTACGGGTCCTACCAGAAGGTACTTTAGACTTGTAGCAATCTCAGTGGTCCTGCTTTGGGTGCTTGATTTGGAAGCTTTATTTGTTGCACACTAATTGTTCCTTTCCATTAAAGGTCTTATGCACTAGAGTATGTTGTGTTTTGATGCGGTAATGTCAGGTTTGGGGCTTCTGGGGTAACTTTCACCCTGCCCTGTAACAGAAGAACCCATCAGGGCCACCAAAACCATCCCAAATAAAATGTTGAGTGAAAAAACCAAACATTCTCTGCAAATGTATGAGCTTACGGTATGTCCAACCAGATCATTCCCACACGAGCCTCTCTAAGCCACTTTGGAGCCTCTGGTGTGTCCTGGTCTGAAGACTGTAGCATAGATTCCATATCCTCTTATAAATGAGTGGTGGGAATTAAGACGAAAGCTGGAAGGAGGACCTTCAAATGACCAGGGCAAGCCCAGCCCCCAGATCTTTAAAAATCTCAAACTAAGGTGTTCGATGGATCACAGCAGGAGTGAAGTAGTTGGGAGGACAATTTGGGGAGTCAGTGAAGAGGGTGCCTGTTTTTTTCCCTCCTAACACTTTTTGGCCCATAGGATATGAATGTTGGGTGCTGTTTCAAAATAATAGCCCCTGGTGTCTTCTGGCCCCATCATGAAGTAGAAATTATGAAGGCACTGTATCTTTTAAAAAAATTCCCCTTTTGTAGCACTTCCTTAAAAACATCTATTTAATGCAACTCTGCCAGTGAGTTCTTGACAGTTCTGTCTTAACAATTCTGGTATTAATGAAAGATCGCTGTAAAAGGTTGAAGTGTCTTCCTGGTAAGTGTTAAGTTATGTTTTTCAAAATACCTTGTTGTAACTGTTAATTTTCTCCTTTGGCTTAACGAGTATTTTTATCCGACTGCAGATACTGGTACAAGACATATTAAGCAATTAAAGTGAACAAAAGTGTTTTCTAGCTATTTTCTGATGGGTTTGCTATTTTTATATTTATATACTTTTAAATAATGTTTTCAAGCTATTTTCAGATGGGCTTGCTCAAGCCATTTTTGGGGTTTGCTACTTTTAAGAGCAGTGTTAAGTTTTGGGGTTATTTTTGTCAACGAGCTAGTTGAAATAGTACGTGCTCTTCACTTGCTTTCTCTTGATGAGTTGAGGTATAATTGAGACATTGATAAGGCTTTAGAAATGTGTAAATTGGTAATAGTCATTTGGTACCATATACATATATCAGAAAGTAATCTATGAACTTATTTTTACTAAGTTGTTCAACATCTCCCATATTGGAAGACTGTATTTCTTGTTTCCCCAGACTTAATGAAATAAAATTGGAATATACCATTGTGTAAGTTTAAGGTACATAACACTCCTGAAGGATTTGATATATTGCAAAACAACCACAATGGTTAAATGAACACATCTATCACCACACATAGTGAGCATCTTAAAAATGAATTAAAAAAACAGAATAGAATTTGAATGTCTGAGATTACAGATACATAGAATCGAATCAGAAGACAGTGTCCCATTTTCTTATGTGTTCAATATTAAGAGTAAGCTTGTTGTGTTCACCTGATAAGAACTTGTAGAAACAGACTTGCTTGGTATGTTCAATAAAATGACAAAGCAATGCTGGGCCTACCGTGAGCTCTTGTTATGTGGATTTTGTGTGTCTGCCTGTGTGCAGTTCTATAGGGAGATAAAAAAATAGAACATTTACTATGAGTCTGTGTGATAGTTATTTAAAACCCAAATGACTTACATAGGTAAGAAAGTGGTTACATAAATTGTAGATCAGGGCTCTTGGAATTTCATAGAGTTCACAATTAAGCTGACTAGGGAATGTTTTACTTACAATGTAAATCCACATTTCATAAGAGAAAAAAGGTGTCTTCAGCTCTCAGACTTTATGAGAGCAAAAATATTTTAAGCACTTCAAAAAATTGAGTTATGCTAAAATAGAAAGATTTGATGTTCAGAGTTTTTTAAAATAATTTTAAATACTTGAAATATTTATGAATTGTTTCTATATTCTTTAAGTTAAGCATTTAGATCCCTGATTCCACTTAACTATTCGCATTTAAGATTTTTTTTTAAGATTTATTTATGCGTAGAAGAACTGGGGTGTAGGCCAGATGTTGGGGGGAGGGTATAAGAGGATTCACCAGAGACAGTGGGGAGCAGGTGGATGTACTGAAATATACTGCTGAGGGGAGCAGGTGAGACAGCATGGGGGGGGGGTTGAAATACAGGTCTGCTGTGCCATATGTATGGGTCACCTCCCTGGCCCAGAAACTGTTGCTGCAGTGGCTTCAGACCGTTGCACCACCAGGGAAGGCCCCACATTTAAGTTTTGTAGTGGTAGAAATGCCAAAAAATGTTTGGAGGAAATTTTGTAGAAAAAAAATTGCATTCATCAAAGAGTTCAGACTTTTTTTAGTTTATATAAAATAAAACCTTTTTTTTTTTTTAATTTATTTGTACATACAGAACTGGGGTACAAGCCAGAGGCTCAGGGGCGGTGAGAGGCTTCACCAGAGACAGAGTGAGGAGCAGAACAGGCAGATCGACGAAGTACACTGCTGAGGGGAGCAGCGGGCGGGTCAGGAGAGGTCTGGCTCGCCATGTGGTCTCCTCCTGTGCAGGAGGCAGGCGGGAATCGAACTCATGCGGAAGTGGCTTTAGCTTCTTAGTGCTGTGCTTTAACCCGCTGCGCCACCAGGGAGGGCCTAAAATAAAACCTTTTAATCCAGAGGTAGATTGTATTTAATATTTAAAATATTAATCTTTTTCAGAATTATCAATTTGTTAATGAAGCATGGTAAGTTGACATTTTAAAATCTTTACTCCTCCATTTTGAAAAGAAACTTTTTGAATCAGATCAATAGGGGAATGAAATGGTTGACAAAACAGTTCTAACTTTAGGTCTCAGAGGTTTTGATATTAGGAACATTTTGTTTTTAAGTGAACAATTCAGACTCTGTTCAATTATGAATATTTCCCTAATCCAGTTTTTCAGATTAGTCTCCTGTTCTATAACTTCTTGTTAAATTAAAAAAAATTATTTATGCATACAAAAATTGGGGTATAGGCTAGAGGTGTGGGGCATGAGATGATTCACCAGAGACAGAGTGGGGAGCAGAACAGGCAAATCTACTGAAACACACTGCTGAGGGGAGCAGTGGGTAAGAGAGGAGAGGTCTGCTGTGCCATATGGGTCAGCTCCTGGCCAGGAGATCAGGTATTCAACTCATGCTGCACTGTCTGCTGATAGCTTCAGATTGTTGAGTCTTAACCCTTTGTGCCACCAGGGAGGGCCCTTGCTAAAATTTATAAGTATGTTGAACACTATAGTTTAGAATGAATGTTGTCTAAACATTATTGCAGGGCAATGGGTCTCAACTGGGATCAGTTTTGTTCCCAGGGTACTTTTGACAATGCCTGAGACACTTTTGGTTTTTCCAAACGTGGGTGTACACTGGCTGTTGTAGACAGAGGTAAGGAACTTTGCTAAACACAAGTATAGTCACTACAGAGACTTAACCAACCTAAAATGCCATGATTGAGACTGTCCCACATGTCAGGAAGGTGAGGTTCATTCAATGTCATAGCTCTCGACTTCTGCCATTGTTCTAACAGGCTTGTGTTGAACAAGACAGACTAGGTCAAGCCTTTGAAGATGCTTTTGAGGTGCTGAAACAACATTCAAGTGGAGACCTTCAGTATTCCCCAGGTAGAGAATTCAATCCCCTTCCCCTCTGGTCATCACATGCTCATATCCATGTAAGAATAATGGCTAGAATAGAGATTTTTTAGGTTTAATCCTAATAAATGGTAAAAAGCACCCCAGGTTACCTAGCCTAAATAAATTTAAAATCAGGGAACCTAGAGAATGACATCCCAACCAGGAATGCAGAGACACAATTGTCTACTGGGAAATCTATCTGGACAACACTTACGTAATGACAGGAAACTAGAGCTGTTCAGAAAAGGCTTTTCAAGTGATCTTACAACCATTCCACCTGTTCAGAGAGATTCTACCTAGAAGAATGAGTAGTCTTATTCTGCAGATAATAGATACAGAGTCGGGATTGTTTATTGAGTTTATACCTGGCATTGTAGGCAATAGACGAGCTCATCTAAGCAAACACACAAATGTAAACGTTGTCTTAGTTTCTTTCTGTTTTTAAATTAGATTACAAAAATTACCTGACTTTCATCAACCACTACTCTCACGTCAGAGGAAATTCCAGCTGTTACTCCATGTCCCCTCCAGAGGAGCCTGTCTGTAACTGGAGAGCGGTAATAGTGAGTGACATGTTTATTTATTTACCAGATCATCCCTCAACAACAAGCGAATTTCCTATTCACCTTCCATTTGGTGTCTGCTGGCGGAAGCCCAGCTTAAAGACAACATTGAAAAAAACAAACCGCTCACTGACAGCAGGCGTCTCAGCCATGATGTTACCAAGGAAACCGCCCTTTGTCATCACCAGCCCCCCGCATTCAGGCTTGTTTGAATTATTAAATAGGTATTTTTAGGGTTCTCATGTCACTGTTGCTTTTTAGTCCATCCAGTGCAGAACAGATACAGTCCCCCTAACAACTACTGGGCGAGTGTCCACACTTCCTCGGGGCTGGCTTCCCCTGCCGTGCATTGCCTGTCTGCTTTTCCTGCGGGGCTCAGCACTAATGGAATGTGTTCTGTATCATTTCTTCAATCATTACCTTCAACTGTGCTGTGTCAAGTGTCCTTTCTCTGTTCCTGTAAACTTCTGTCTGGGCTTCTCTTCAAGACAGTTCTTTGAAGAGGGAGTTTTAGTTTCAGCTTTATTTCATACACCTCCACTTAGAACTGCTGGGTAAAATACAGAAAGCCCAACATTTCTATTTGCTAAGTCTGCCAACTTTACTTCCAAGCAATCAACATAGCCTTTTTGTTTTTGTTTTTGTTTTTAAGATTTATTTATTTATGCTTACAGAACTGGGGTATAGGCCAGAGGTGCAGGGCGGTGAGAGGCTTCACCACAGACAGTGGGGAGCAGAACAGGCAGGTCACAGGAGGTCTGTTACGCCATGTGGGTCAGCTCCCTGCCCAGGGATTGAACTCGTGCTGCAGTGGCTTCTGAGAGCTTCATAACGCAGTGCTTTAACCCATTGCACCACCAGGGAGAGCCCCATATATCCTTTTAAGATTGTGGATCTCTTGCTTGCTGGACAACCTTTTTGTATGAGGTATTGATTCAAGCCCAATCCTTCCCACAGTGATAATTAGCCCATGGAGACTCTTGCCATTTATCCTGGTTGGAATTCAGACAGCTTCCTCTTGTCCCTTCACTTGACTGTGCCCTCAACTGGTTGCCATCTTTCCTTACCCTTTCTTGGCCAAATGCGCCTCTGATGCAAGAATGGATCAGATGGTGTCCTTTTCTGTTGACACCATAATTTCTATTAATGATTCTTTTGGCTCTTTCTTTCTCTGTTTCTTTTTTTCTTAAGATTTATTTATTTAGACATACAGAACTGGAGTACAGGCCACAGGTGTAGGGGCAGTGAGAGGCTTCACCAGAGACAGAGTGGGGAGCAGAACAGGCAGATCAACGAAGCACACAGCTGAGGGGAGCAGCGGGCAAGAAAAGAGAGGTCTGCCGCACCGTGTGGGTCACCTCTGGGGCCGCGGATCAGTCTCACACTGAAGCGGCTAAGGCTTGCTTGCAGTGCTGCATCCTAACCTGTTGTAACACCAGGGAGGGCCCTTGGCTCTTTCTTTCTCACTAGGCATTTCTGAGGGTGGGGAGTTGTTAGGAACATTTGAGTGTGGTGCTTGTTAGGATTTACATGATGCTCAGCATTCTTTTTGACTTTAATCAACTAGGGATCACACATTAAATCCACTTCATGTTCTCTTTCATTATTTCTGTAGAACAGTGCTGCAGATCTCTATTTTGAAGGAAATATTCATCAGTCTCTGCAGAACATCCCAGAAAGCCAGCTGACATCATCTGCTGTTCTCCAGTCAAAGGGAGGAAAAGGTATATAGTATGTGACCCATCATCCCTTGTCTAGGGGTACATCAAATCCTCAAAGCAGCTTTCATGGGGGTATGGTCTGAGTTTGGAATTGCATTTGCAAAAGAGTCTCTTCCTACTATTGGGAATAATTAACTTTGAACCATGTCAAACCCTTCTTTGCTGAATCTTCTATTGCTTCATAAAGAAGCTGTCAAGTGTTACCATACTCAAATCTATATTCAGTTATAAAAATCAAGTTCTACAATTTCATAAATTTGATATTCTGATTTTGCAAATTTAAAGACAATGATGACTTCACTAAACAGACAGGAAAGCCGGAGAGGAGAGATGGGTACCAACGTGTCCATTGAGAGAGGTCTACGTGCTCTGTTAGGAGAGAGCAGATGGGGGCAGAGTTTTCTAAGGCAATTTGGCAATTTCTTAAATTACCATGTGCCTTTGTGTGTATACACGTGTTAGAATGATTATTTCAGTGTTTGTGATAGCAAGAAATTGGGAATTTGCCTATTGTATTTGTTAGTGTATAAGGTACAGAGATGTGTAAAATGTATTCCATTCATTTTATAATGTAGTTTTAAAAATATCTTCACTTTTATTTATAAATGTTATAAATATCATCTTATTTATAAGCTGTTTTTATGATATTTGTTTTTAATTTGTATACACCATAAGAAAAGTTGTAAGATTATAAATTAAATCTTATTTATAGTTATCAGAAGTAACCTTCACTTTAGATTATTAATAATACATGACTTTTTTTGGGAAAACAGCATACTGTATCCTAAAGTCATAACACTATAAATATATAGTAATATTCTAATTGGACAAGTCACAGGTACAATATGTATCACTGATTATTGATATTGAACTAGATAATAATTTAATAATGAGAATAATATCTCTCCTTCTGTCAAGTTGTTTAGTTTGCAACTATTTTTTTTTATAGCTGACTGCTGCTAACTCCCGAGTGTGAAGCCAATGTCTTTTCTTGAGTGTTTTGTGTTGTGAAGTTTAATATTAAGGATATAGCCACCATTTTCTATTTTTAGAGCTTTAGTCTTCCATCTGAAAAGGGGTACATTTGAAAAGAACGAAATTTCAAAGTCTTATAAGCATTCAGTTTTGGGGGAAAAAATAGCACCAGCATAAAAAAGAACAGATAGTTGTTCAAAGTCACTGAAGTCCTTACATATTAATAATGCAGAAGGAATGCTGAACTACATTTTTTACTTTTTGTTCTAATGTGTGTGTTTTTTTTAAGATTTGTTTATTTATGCATACAGAGCTGGGGTACAGGCCAGAGGTGAGGGCTAGTGAGAGGATTCACAGACACAGAGTGGGGAGCAGGACATTCAGATTAAATACACTGCTGAGGGGAGCAGCAGGTGAGAGAGGAGAGGTCTACTGCGCCATGTGGGTCAGCTCCCTGGTGGGGGATAGAACCCGTGCTCAAGCAGCTGTGGCTAGCTTCACAGTGCTTCTCTTCAACTCACTGTGCCACCAGGCAGGGCCCCTGTTTTAATGCTTTTTAGTTCCCTAAGTCAAAAGTAATAATGTGAATTATTAAGAATTCAAGCTCCAATCAGTGAATCTAAAGAATAAGTGAAAATGTTTCTTCCCAGAAGTGTAACAACTATCAAAGGTTTGTTTTGGTATTTCGTCTATCACTAATCTCTGTATTATTCTGTAATTTCTTATTTAGTTGCTATTCACTGGGAAAAGTACAAAATAGTATGGGCCTTTTCTGATTTTTAAATTTTAGGTTTGTGTATGCAAAGAAAAAAACATTTCCTAGAAATAACATAGGATAGACTGGAACTTTTCACTTGTTTGAATTTTTTACCATGAACAAATACTTTTTTTAATATGAAAATTTAAAACAGTTTTTCAAAATTGAAAGCAACTTTTAAAAAGATGAGGCTCTCTTATTGACTTACCCACTGAATGAGAAGGCAGTGTTGTTTAAGGCTGTGACTTTAATTCATGCTGTGATTTTGGTAAGTCCCTTTCATTTCTCAATTCATACACTCAAGATAATAGAACCCAAAAGATAATCTTTGTAAAAACCTTTGAGGTTTCAGCATGAATAATGATTGATGCAAGAGTATTACTCCTTAGAGACTGTTTAGAGTAGTTCGGGAATCCGCTATTTTACTTTCTCAGGGGGGAAATGGAATTTGGCTATGGAGGTTTTAGCTACTGGCTGATCTGGTGGGACTCTGTATTTAAAGGCCAATTAATTCACAAATCCCAAAATAGACTGTCACTTACATTCTCTAGGCACAAAAAAAAAAAAATCTAATCAATTGGATAAGTAAAATCTCTAAGAAACCCTCTTCCCAAATTTACCGTCCAGTTTTTTTTTTTTTTCCTGTAATATGGGCTGTGTTTCTAAAGAGAAACTCTGACAGCATTTTTACTTCACAGCAATGAAAACTACCAATGCCCATTGTCATTGCTCAGAAATACTGCCAAAATGTCATGAAGCTATTTTGGCATTTTTCCACTCCAGTTTTTCTATTTATTTTTTCCAAGTCATTATGCAGACCCAGAGTAAGCACTTTAAGTAAGTCTTTGTTATTGACTTCGCTTCTATTTGCACTGTTTTTTACATTTTACAAAATTCATTCAGCACCCTTTCTGCGTTTTTTTGAATCAGGCACCTTCCAATGACTTCTTGTCTGTAAATGATTTCTTTTTAAAACCACTCAACCTGGCAGTTCATTTTGCTCAGTTTAGTTATTCTGTAGAAAAGTGAACACATGACATAAAACTAGCAGATTTAACACAAGAAGAAAAAAAAGATTCACCACATGATAAATGGAGACTTGGGTAAGAGCTCCATGCTTCCCTTTTTCAGTGCAGAACAGTACAAAACTTTTAGCGACTTCTCCAACAGAAAAGTCCAGTTGAGACCTCAATAAGTCAAACAGACCCTTGACTTTCAAGTCCTGAGGCGAAGGTAAGTGGGGGTAACCTTTTTAACTTTTTTCTTGTCCCTCAAGCCCTTCCTGAGAACGTCCTCTGTGTTCAGGCTCCTCAGAGGCACTGACCCTGGTTCTTCCATTTTAGGCAGGAAGAAGCTCCGCCTGTTTGAATACCTGCACGAATCCCTGAGCAACCCTGAGATGGCATCTTGTATCCAGTGGATCGATAAAGCCAAAGGCATCTTTCAGTTTGTATCAAAAAACAAAGAAAAACTTGCCCAACTTTGGGGGAAAAGAAAAGGCAACCGGAAAACCATGACATACCAGAAAATGGCCAGAGCACTAAGGAATTATGGGAGAACTGGGGAAATCACCAAAATCCGTAGAAAGCTGACATACCAGTTTAGTGAGGCTATTCTCCAAAGACTCTCTCCATCTTATTTCTTGGAAAAGGAGTTCTTCTACTCACCGTATATTCAGCCTGATCAAAACTATCTCAGTTTAAATACCTGGCATGCAAATTATAATTCTTTAACTGCCAACTACCCTGAGATAAGCCACCCTGTTTGCTAAATATACCCTTCCATGTCATGCTTTCCAGTCATCAGAAATCACTAAAATTTCAGAGTTTTTCTCGTAAAAACAAATACTGAGGGAAAAGCCAATGAACTGACTATTCTGTCAGTGAATAACTTTACAATGATCAAATCCCATTTGAAAGTATAGACTAAATGTCCTTGTTCTTATCATCTATGCAATACTTTTTTCCAGATTAACAATGCCAATAGAGATGGTTTGATTTATATATTGATTAAAACATTTGTTTCCTGTCCTATATTTAAAATAATCTTTCTAACATAATTGATGATTTTAAGCAGCAAAGCAAAAAAGGGATTGCATAGGATAGTGTTCATGCTAAAATAAGTTTGTAGTTTTTAAAGCTTCTGTGGCTATCCTGAATCTATATTTTCTCGGTACTGAAGTCCTCACAGTCTGGCGCTAAAGAAATGAGATGGTCTAAAGAAATGCCACAGACCTTAATGATAATAATACTCAGCTAACATCTCCCACAAATTAGTCTTTGGGTTTCTGCCTGGGATAGATGCAGGAGCTGGCGTTGCTTGCTATCCTGTTATTCAGCCACGGGGAGGCGCTTTCGCGCTGTTTCTGGCAAAACTGTCCAACTTGCTTTCTTGGTTCTCCCTTTGAACTAGCTTGCTGAGACCAAGTTGGAACAGTGGAGGAAAAAAACAAAAACTGAAAGAATAAGGAGAGAAAAAGCGCAAAAACCCAGAGAAAGCCAGGATTTACAGAGCCTGGCTTAAAGCTGTGGCTCATTCTGCACTTGGGAAGAAACCCTTTGTTTCCTCGGACTTTGCAGCACCAGGCAGATGGAATCTCTGTTAAGAAGCAGAGCTTCCTAGACTACATGGGTCATTTTTAGGCCAGACCAAGAGCTTCCTGGACCCTTCCCTGTAAGATTTGCTGCGTTTGTCTTTTTTTTTTTTTTTTTTGTCCTCCTAATACCATTCCCACGAGGACTTCGGAAAGGCTTGGGTATACCCAGAGTGACTAAATGGAGGCAGACTTGATCACTGACTCTCCATATGTATCCTGGGTTCTGTTACAGACAGAATGTGTCTTGCCAAAGTTCGTATGTTGCAACTGAGTCCTCGAAGGAATGGTATTTGGAGGTTTCTTTGAGAAGCCACTAGACTACCAGGGTTGATCTTTGTGAATGGAATTAGTGCTTTATAAAGAATTCCCAAAGTTTCCTTGCCCCTTTGGCCATGTGCAAAAAGCAATACGATGACTTGTGAACCAAAGAGCCCTCACCACAGAATCTTGGCACGTTGGCCTTGGACTTCTACTGACACCATTTTCCTAATTTTTGCGTTTTTTATTAACGGGGGTTATGTACATTTTTTAAAAGCAGCTGTTGCCCATTTAATGGACTAAGTGTAGTATAAATAGAACAGTTCACAGGGTTGACTGCTTATTTTAACAAGATGTGTTAGGGAAAACAGAACTTGTTACTGCTGAATTAACCCAGGAGCTGGAACCTGGAGTGATTGGAGTGTTCCCATCTCCCCCCAACCCCTCTCCCCGGAAATGTGTGTTTTTAAAAGCTGTTTGCTGGATATGGTTTTGAACGTGTATTGTGTCGAGCCTGTGTGGATTGTATACATGACTAAATATAAAGGCTGTAAAACCGAGATTTTGCATGGGTGTTGGGGGTGAGGTATAATAAACTACTTGTGTTGACGCCAGAGACAATGTAGCTCAAGTTTCCTTGTTCATTAAAACTGCTTCCTGCCAACCTGGAGTGTCTTCTGTCTCTACCTGCTGCACCTGCGGCTGGTTTCAGGTTATATGTGGGTTTGGCGCCTGCCACAGCCCAAGCACTAGGTAGAGAGACCTCTTGGTTTTTATACAAGGCACTGGAACAATTTGTTCCCTGGTATGTGGTATCTGGCCTCCATCTTACTACTTTTATCTATTTGCATACCTCATTCTCACTTTTCTAGTGAATTGGAGGTCTTAAGAGAAAGTCAGTTTTGCTGCAATCTATAGGCAGCATCCAGGGTTAGTGTCTCTCTGCCCAGGTGTTAAGCATTAAATCCTTCTAGGTACTTCATGTCAGTTTTTTAAATTCACAGGATCTTGGGCCCTCCCTGGTGGAGTGATGGGTTAAGGAGCAGCACTATGAAGCTGTCTGCAGCCACTGCCGCATGAGTTCCATCCCCAGCCAGGGAGCTGACCCACATGGCCTTCAGACCTCTCATGTCTCACCTGTTTCTTCCCTCAACAGTCTATTTCAGTCAATCTGTTCTGCTCCCCTCTCTGTCTCATCCTCTCACCCTCTGCACCTCTGGCCTATGCCCCAATACTTGTATAAATGAAGGAATTCTCTGCTCTTTGGTCCTGGAGCTGGTTTACCCTTTTTTCTCCCTTTGATTCTTCCTGTTACTGAGGTGTCAGTATCAATGTTTTCCTTTTCCTCATCCCAGTCATTCCCTGTTGGAAAACCTGCTCAAAGTTCTCTCCTTTATGGAACTAAGGAGAAGCCAAATGCATGAAGTGGATGGCAACATTAATTTTAATGCATACACTAAAATAAAAAGCAGCTAAAATACTTTCCTCCTGTCATACCCTCTTTCACGTTACTCACGGAAGGAAAAAGAGAGCAGCCTTCATTCCTCTATTGGTAGGATTGGCCCTAGCTTCGTCTGTCACCGCAGTTGCTGTGAGCTCCAGCAGTCTAGCACTAGAAATGAGAGATTTTAAAGCACTAAAAAAACGAGGTCCAGGTATCACTTGACTTAGCTGCAGATGTTGTGGAGGATTTGCAAAAATAAATCACCTCTGGCCTCGGTGGTGCTGCAGAATAGACGTTCCTTAGACCTCCTGACTGCCGTAAAGGGTGGAACATGTCTTTTTTAAAATAAGGAATGCTGTTTTTATGTTAACAGCTCGGGACAGGTGGAACAAAATGTGGCGAAGCTATGCGAGTTGGCCCAAAACATCAGAGAATCCAACACCCAAAGAAATATCTTCTGGGGATGGCTGCAACAACCTCTCTTACCCTGGATAGTCCCTCTACTAGGTTCCTTAATATCAGTCATAGCCCTTTTTACTATGGCCCCATGCATGGTCCGTTTTTTAATGGCACGGATGCAGGCTCTAACCAAGGACACAGTAAATCAGCTCCTGTTACACCCCACGGTCCCCTATATTCCTTTGCAGGAAGTCCACGATGGTCCCTAAGTCATGCAGGAAGTAGCCATGGAGAAACTATGCCTCTTTTCCTAACTAAAGAAAAAGTGGGGAATGTTGGGAGTGACCAAATGTGGAGATTTACTGAGGGACCGGATAAGGGCAGTAATAAATCCAGCCTTGCATCCAAAGGTGATAAAGGCGGTAATAAATTGTGGGCCTTGCATCCAATTAACGGGGTCTTGCACCAGCGATGGGACTACATGAAGGTGATAACGAACTGGGCCTTACATCAAGGGACATAGCGATTAATCACCTCTTTGGAATTCAAGTTTTAAGCCTATGTAAGAGACCCTTCCCCCCTATAGGGGTGGCAGTAGCTGCGGACCCTACTCTTGGGCTCTGTCTCAGCTGCTGTCTAAGAGCAATAAACTGTTTGCTCAGCCTCTCTGCCTTTTGTCTTTCTTTCCTGTGGCCCGTCACAGAAGTAGGGGCAAAACACCTCCCTCTTTCCCTTCCTCTGCCCTGTACTGGGTAGAACATGTCATGGTCCAGGTAGCCAGTACTAAGCAAAACAGCATGGTGTCTTCTGTCATGAAGCTTCAGATCAATATTTTATTTTACAGATTGCATTAATATTTAACCAAAGTTTACTTCGTGATTTATTGATGAGCAGTTGATGGAGTACACAGGTAAAGTGTGTCAGGTACATTCATGTGGTGACATTTCTACCCTGACTGCAGATTAGTGTATGTAACTTCCAGATTAGGATGTGGAATGTTTCCAGCACTTTGGTGTTGCATCAGGCAACACCACACTGACAAACAGGAGTCATGGAGTAGGCTACATCATCAGGATGCTGCCAAGAAGCAAGATCCTGGCCTTTTTATTGATCGAATAATCAGACAGCATCAGTTACATGGGGTAGGAGGACAAAAAGAAAAGGGAGGAATGAAATTAGAAAACATTATCTAGAATGTCAGGGGCTGAGTTTACCCTCCAGACACTTCTCATCCTCTTGATGACTTGGTATTGTGATTGAGATCAAACACAGATCCCCAGCCATGGTTTCAGTCTTAGCAAGGCTTTTTACTGATCAGCTTCTGGGGTCTTCACCCCCCCCCCCACCCTGGGCATTCCCACTGATACTCCTTGATGTATGAGTCCATCGGTCATCAGCCCCCAGGCATTCCAGGCCACAGTGCCTGATGCCTACATAGCCTTCCCAGAGTGATCAGGCTTTAAGCTCCTGGTGGATTTGAAAGGCACCTTGTGAGGTTTGGCTCTGACTGATTGACCTATACAAGGCTCTGAGATGCTCCTTAGTTTATACTGCTCCTCCCCACCCTCTCTCACTTTTTGTACATGGCTAAAGATGATGGTGATTTTATAGCATCCTGGGCAATCCTCATCCACAAAGTAGGAATTGGGAGTCGGCACAAGGTGCATTTCATGCTTTCTCTTCTTTTCTGGGGAAGGATGGAGGAAGTATTATATTCATGAGAGGTCATCACCACTGGAGAGGTAAATTTCATCTTGCTGAATTATAGAGTCATTTAGTAGGTACTCTGCTCAATATAATATTCCCTAACATAATACAAAGTTTGTCAGTGTTGCTCTACATACCAGTTTATTCCTTTATGTTGCTTTTTGAGCTGCTGATCTTTTAAAGGACATTGACAATTTTTTATAGCCTGAAATATCTCCTTTAATCAATATATTAAAGTAGATATATTTACAGAGATTGTAAATATAAAGTGAGTCCTGCATACTCACACATTGTGTCACTTTATTATTCAACACCATCGATAATCTCTCCAACACCATTGATATCTATTCTCCATGTTACTTTTGATAGAATGACTCTTAGAAAGGGTCAGAGTCCCTTGAATCACAGGAGAGTGAGATAAACACCATAATAAAATTGGTGTTTTGCCTCAAAGACTAATTGATGTTAAGTAGAACTAAGATCTGCCCTGTATCCTTTGACTGCCCAGCTATACTACATACACTTTAATACACTTACACTTCATGCCTTTATTTAATATATATATATATATATTAAAGATTTATTTCATGCATACAAGAGCTGGGATACAGGCCAGAGGTGCAGGGGATTCACCAGAGACAGCAGGAGCTGAACAGGCGGAGTGGCTGAAAGACACTGCTGAGGGGAGCTGTGGGGAGACAGGAGAGGTCTGCTGTGCCATATGGATCAGCTCCCTGGCGGGGGATAGAATTCCTATTGCCGTGGCTGTTAATAGCTTCATAGCGCTGAGACTTAACGCCCCTGCCTTTATCAGAATTGTTTACATGCTCCCTAAAAAGGAATAATCCCAAATCTCGTTAAATAACTAACTCCATATTTAGGGCAATTGTCACAGGTACAGGTTTCATGGACTCCGCCCCTACTCCAGATGCTGGAACTCCAAATCACATCAGTGCCAAGAAGAAGCACCCAGGGACGTGAGGGCGGAGCTGAGCAGCCAGGTTGGGATAAAACCGGACATGTGGGCTCTGGGGGGCTCTTGGCCTGGTGGTTGGAGCTGATCGTTTGGGCACTCAATCGGTTTTCAGCGTCCGGTGGAGTCCAAGTCAGCAGAACTGGTAGGACATCCTAGGTAACCTGTGTTTCTCTCCCTCTTTCCCTGGGTATTCCTTTACCTTTCTCCTTGTAAATAAATCCATTATTTAACCTTTTGAGTGTGTCCATAATACGATTGACTCGTAAGCGCACAGGTGAAGACCCACAGACAGGCAACCCAATTCACATTGGGGTGCCCTGTAA